TTCCCTGCCCTGCCGGGCTTCTCCGATCACAAGCCGGGGGGCGGGCAAAGGTGTCCCCAGTTCTCTGATCACGGGCCGGGGGGGCAGGAAAGAGGGGTATACAGGGCAGGGCCAATCGGGGGGTTGGGGTGCCGCCCCAGTTGTGATTGGAGAAGAACCCGGCTCTTACCTGCTGCCTGGGTTTCTGATCACCGTCAGCGGCAGGCGGCTTTTTCCATCCTTCCCCTATCACCTCCTGGCATTGCGCCTATGTATGCAAATTAACTGCCATCTTTGTTGGCAGTTAATTTGCATATAGCCCTGATTAGCCAATGGGCAGCATAGTGAAGGTACGGTCAGTTACCATGTTTGTCTATTATTAGATAGGATGATCTATCCATGTAACTGTCAATTTTTATTCTGCAAATACTGTATTCTATCACAAGTAATCACATCATATCAATATGTCTATTAAAAGAAATTTATGCTATGTCCAATTTACAGTGATACAAACCATAATACAGTGAACATATATATCTCTTTGTGTATATATTTGAGTGTTCTAAAGACAATAAACCAAAATAATATACAGTGAGAACATATACCTCTTTGTGCACATGTGGGTGCCTCTGAAACCAGTACACGAAAATAAGTTGATTGATCCACATTTATGTGTTGTTGTTTTTTTTAAAAAACCTGTATTTATTAAAGTAATAAATATATTCAATTTTCATCATAGTTTAAAAATTTTACTTTTTGTATTGTTCATTAATCTATTTGGATTTTCTTTTTATATATGGTAAAAAAAATAGCTAATACTTTTTATTAATATGAATCTTCCATTTATTAAATAGGCCATCCTTTCTCCAATGATTTGCATAGCAGTATCATACACAAAATCCACATCTCTCCTCCAATCTTCAATTTGTTTCCACTGATTTATTTACTCGTCAAGAACACATTGTTTAAATGACAGTTTTAAAAAAAATGTTTTATTGACTTTTTAGAGATAGACAGAAACATTGATGAGAGTGAAACATCAACATGCCTCCTGCTGGGGATAGAGACATTATACTAGGCATGTGCGCTGACTGGGAATCAAACCTTGACCTCCTGGTGCATGGGCCAACCACTGAGCCACATTAGCCAGGCTAAATGATACAGTTTTAAATAAAGTATGTAATGATATCTAGTATACTGTCTTCTCTTTTGTTTTTCATATTTTCCAGCTATTTGTAGTTCTTTATATTCCAATATAATATTTTAATTCAGTTTATGAAATTCTTAAAATATAACTAAATAATGAAAAAAGGAGTTTTGTGAAAAAATGTTTCTAACAATGCCAAGTCTTTTCAGTGTTATTTTTCTAAATCTTTAAGGGGTTCTTTTATGCTCTTCAAAATGTTTTATGCCTTAACTGGTTTTGCTCAGTGGGTAGAGCATTGGTCTGCAGACTGAAGGGTCCTAGGTTCGATTCTGATCAAGGGCATGTACCTTGGTTGCAGGCACATCCGCAGCAGGGGGTGTGCAAGAAGCAGCTGATTGATGTTTCTCTCTCATCAATGTTTCTAACTATCACTCTCCCTTCCTCTCTGTAAAAAATCAGTAAAAATATTTTTTAAAGTTTTATTTTTTAAAATATATTTTATTGATTTTTTTACAGAGAGGAAGGGAGAGAGATAGAGAGTTAGAAACATTGATGAGAGAGAAACATCGATCAGCTGCCTCCTGCACACCCCTTACTAGGGATGTGCCTGCAACCAAGGTACATGTCCTTGACTGGAATCGAACCTGGGACCCTTCAGTCCACAGGCTGATGCTGTATCCACTGAGCCAAACCGATTAGGGCCCCAATCTTTTTCTTGATAATACATTGGCTAGGAACCCAAGTATCATGTTGATAAGCTAACAGAAGACATCTTGTTTCAGGTTTTAATGAGAATGATAAATATTATTGGTAGATAAGATATCTGCTAAAGGTTTTTGATGATCAGCTTTTTCATTATAAAATTCTTAATCTTGGTAAGAATTCTCATGTTTCATGAATGTGTGACTTCTTCAAAAGGTTTTCCCATATTCACAGTTTTCTGCTCTGTAATCAGTTACATAATATGAAAGGAGGTGCTAATTACTTCTGAAGGTTTTTCCATATTCACTATATTCATAGGGTTTCTATTTCTAAGGAGTATGAATTTTTTGGTGCCTAACAAGATGTGACTTTTGGCTGAAAGCTTTACAACACTCATTACAATGATAAGGCTTCTCACCTGTATGTTTTCTCATATGAAGTGTAAGAGATGAGATTTGAGAGAAGGCTTTTCCACATTTACTACAGTCAAAGGGTTTCTCACCTGTATGACCTCGTATATGTATTGTAAGGGATGAGCTTTGGGAGAAGGCTTTTCCACATTTATTACATTCATAGGGTTTTTCACCGGTATGACCTCTCGTGTGCACAATAAGGGAAGTTCTTTGAGAGAAAACTTTTCCACACTCATGACATGCATAGGGCTTCTCACCTGTATGACTTCTCATATGCAAATTAAGCAATGAGCACTGAGAGAAGGATTTCCCACATTTATCACACTCATAAGGCTTTTCCCCTGTGTGACTTCTCAGATGAAGAGTAAGCGATGCAATTTGAGAGAAGGCTTTACCACATTTATTACAGTTATAAGGTTTCTCTCCAGTGTGGACTTTCTGATGTGTAATAAAGTTTTGCTTTTGGCTGAAGGCTTTACCACATTCATTACATTCATAAGGTTTCTCTCCAGAATGAATTTTTTCATGAGCAATAAGATTTGATTTCTGGCTAAAGGCTTTGCCACATTCTTTACATGTATAGGGTTTTTCTCCAGTGTGAATCCTCTGGTGTCTAACAAGATTTGACATCTGAATAAATGCTTTCCCACATTCATTACATTCATAAGGTTTCTCTCTAGTATGAATCTTCTGGTGTGTAATGAAGCTTTTCTTGTGGCTGAAGGCTTTTCTACATTCCTTGCATTCATAAGGTGTCTCACCAGTATGACTTCTCATATGTACAGTAAGGGCTGAACTTTGAGAGAAGGATTTTCCACATTCATTACATTCATATGGTTTCTCACCTGTATGAATTCTCACATGTATAATAAGCATGGAAAACTGAGAGAAGGCTTTTCCACATTGATCACATTTATAAGGTTTTTCACCTGTATGACTTCTCATATGAAGAGTAAGGGATGCAATTCGAGGGAAAGCTTTACCACATTCATTACATACATAAGGTTTCTCCCCAGTATGAACTTTCTGATGTGCCACAAGGCTTTGCTTCTGGCAGAATGCTTTTCCACACTTATCACATTCATAAGGTTTCTCTCCAGAATGAATTTTTTCATGATCAATAAGATTTGATTTTTGGCTGAAGAATTTCCCACATTCCTTACATGCATAGGGTTTCTCTCCAGTATGAATTCTTTGATGTCTATTGAGATTTGACACTTTAATGAAAGCTTTCCCACATTCATTACATTTATAAGAATGTTCCCTACTGTGAATTATCTGATGTTTTAAGAGTTTTTCGTTATGGTTAAAGGCTTTTCTACAGTTTTTACATTCATAGGGTTTCTCTCCAGTATGAATTCTCAGGTGTCTGATGAGATCAAAGGTTTGACTAAATCCTTTTCCACAATGACTACACTTAAAGGGGGTTACTACAAAATGAGATGATCTACTGCTAGATGACTTTATAGGTTCATTATATTCACAGTATTCCTTTTTTATCAGGATGTTCCCATTATTTTGACAGTCAAAATTATGTTCTAAACACTTTCCAAATAAGTTATAGTCACAGAGGTTGTGAACAGAGGGGTAAAACTCTGAGTTTGGAGAAAATGCATAAGAAATTTTCTTATGACATTCACTGACTTTTTCTTCAGTCAATACTTTTATGAACTTATCTCTGAGTTGTGTCAAAAGTCTGTCCTGTATATTCTGATGGTCAAGTCCAGATAGTTCTCCTAAAACAGATTAAAAGTAAATATTACTTGTAAATTTTTCCAATATTATATCAATAAAATTTCAAAAATATGCTATTATAGGATTGATTATTGGCTTAAGACCTACTTTTCCACTATTAAGTAAGTTCCAGGAACATACATCTTCTATTTCCTAAGCTTTAGAAAATTTTAGGAAGGTAAATATGAATACAGGCAGACATCTATGAACACAAATAGCCTTGCTTTTAAATGGGATATGAAAGAAAAAAGATAAAGTATTCAGTATATAAAAGAGAATACAGAATTTCAAATAATGTAAGAAGAAATAATGATAGAGAAAAACACAAAGACAGGAAGTTAAAAATCATAAAACTATTTTGCAGGACTTTATTGAAATACATTCTTACAAACTGTTTTTGACATGAATAATTTTCTGGAAAATGTAAATGACCAAAATGGCTATAAGGTATAGAAAACCTATCAAGCCAATTTCCATAAAATAAACAGAAAAACTTGAAAAGAAATGCCCTAAAAACAAAACAAATACACAAGACGCAGAGAAATTCACACGAGATTTTAATAAACATGTAAGGGCCAACTCTCATGTGCAAAATGTTACAAAAGAAAAAACGAAGAGATTCCAATTTTTTTTCGTGTGAAACAAACAATATTAATACCAAAATCTGAGAAAGATGTCAACCAAAAACCAAATTATACACCAATTTCATTTATGAATATCAATGTAAAAATTCTAAATAAATTATCAAGATGACCCAGAAAAAAATAAAGTGACCTAGAAGATCTGGAAACAACCCAAGTGCCGATCAGTGGATAAGTGGATAATCTGTGGTACATTTACATAATGAAATACTGCTTAGCCATTAAAAAAAAAAAGGAAACCTTATTTTTTGCAACAGTATAGATGGATCTGGAGATTATTATGCTAAGCAAAATAAGCTGGTCAGAGAAAGACAAATACCATATGATCTTCCTTATATGTGGAATCTAATGAACAAAATAATTTAACAAACAAAATAGAAACAGAAGTATAGATATATAGGTCACACTGACAGCTGTCAGACGGAAGGGGGGTCTGGAGGACTGAGTGAATAAAGATGAAGAGATTAAGCCAAAAAAAAAA